CTTAGATCATATATTCATATACAATGGATAGAGCCATGACCTATAGATTACATATTATAACATCGATGATGTACGTCACGTTAGAGACGAGTCGCCATTAATATGACCTCTATTGCGCATGCGCCTCTAGCTACTATTCGCATATTTATCTCAAACCATTTATTCGTATTTCAGATTTCTTATCAAAAGATAATAATCTATGTCATATTACATTATACAGATTTCAACTTATTACCAATTCAATAAATTCGAGTTAATTAATTAAAATGTTTATTATTAATTAATAATTAGTAGTAAAGTTAATAGTTAAACTATTAAAAAGTATTTAAAATAAATTGCCAGTCTTTTTAAATTAGTTAAAATAAATGAATACCTAATTAATAATAATAAATGTAAAAGTAAAACTACATATTCATAGTATAAAATAATAAATGTAAAAGTAAAACTACATATTCATAGTATAAAATAATAAATGTAAAAGTAAAACTACATATTCATAGTATAAAATAATAAATGTAAAAGTAAAACTACATAATATGCATAGTATAAAATAATAAAAAATAATATTTTTATGAATTATATTATAAATATATTTAAAAAATTGGATATATTATTATCAGCTATTGATTTTTAAATAATATTAGTTTTGTATAATTTCTCCTTATGTTTTTCCCTGTGATTTGTTGCGTATGTAATTTTACATAGTGATTAGTGGTGCATCCTTAAATCTATATAATATTCAAGTATAAGTTTAATTAATTGTATCCTATGGTTGTCAAAAATGTCTTGAGTAAGAATATGATCCATCATTGTTTGTGTGTTGAATATCGAAGAGTCTGTACTAAGTTCATTTAATGATTGTACACATAATTTTTGCTTTATATTTTTATCTGATAGTAAAATGCTTGTATTAAGTCTCAATATGTATTCGGCAGTCAAACATATTTTATTTACATCCGACGATGAATTTATTAATTTGCCCTTTGATTTTATTTTTAATAATAATGGTGTACCTATCTAAATCTATTTCTTGTGATAAATGTAAGTCATATATTTTACAAAGATTTTTCTTTTTTTTAATTTTAGAAACAATAAAACCAGAAGTGTATTTAACAATATCAACCACATAATCTTCCAGTACTGGTAGGTGCTTATAATAATCGTGATCAACTTCATCAAATAAGGCTAAATTTTCATTGTTGTCTGTATTTACATCACAAATTGCATCTGCGTCCTTTCTCATTGCAGTGCCTACAAACAAAATACTACAGGTATCGAGTACTGAACAATTTCCATATTCTGATGATTTTATTTCATGTCTTACTAGAAGACGTTTGTATGCTGTTTTAAACTGAACTGAATTTCAATTTGGATTATTGTTGTAACCTCCGCGACTTCGCATCGCACTAAAAAAAACTTCCAAATGGTCTTGGCTTAGTTTATACCCAAGTATATAACACATCTCGTAACGCTTGACGCTTGACCACCTCAAACAAATTTATCAAATTAGTGATGCATATAATCAATCCTAAAAATCCTGTTTTTCGTTGACTTTTTAATAAAAGTTCACCTTCAGGCTGACTTGTACTTCCTTCATAACGAAGATTTTCCACATATGATTTAAATTTATCCAAAAATTGTTTTATGTGAGGCAATGTCTTATTGCTAATTTTGTATATGATCTAAAGCCCGGTCCAGACCAAGAAACATTTGTAGGAAACATATGTTTTTGACATTGTCGTCGACAAATATTTATGTTACCGCTACGAGCGGAAATCGGAAACATTGTCGATGACAATGTTGGAAACACTTGTTTCCGACAAAATTTTCTTTGGTGTGGACGAGGCTTAAGGCCACATTTAGGCTATAATTATTGTTATTGTGTAGTTGTTCGTCGGTATAGCGGTGATACCAGTTTACCATTACTAAAATATTAATGACAAATATTGTGTTAATATTAGAAAATTATTAATATTTATAATGTATATAATCAGTTAAATTCCAAAATAGTACAGTATAAATTATGAAATATGGTAAAATTGTAGAGTACTAAATAATATCAAGTATTAACTATTGTCAATTAAGTAATATATGTAACATTTTAAAAAGAATTTAACAACGAAAAGTATTCCAGCTTGTACATTGTACAATGTATATTTTATTATATTAGATGATAAATAATATAATATGATAAATAATAGTTATTTAATAATAACTAATAAGTAATATTTAATTAAGTAAAGTAGGTAGCTAATAATAACCGACAATTAGTACAAAATACAAATAAACACATCATAGCGTCAGGCGATCCGATTTCGAAAATTCATAAAAATGGCCGATGGGTACTTTTACTTATTCTCGTGACATTGTGAATAAAATTAAAACTGATCCGATAGAGGTGGAGGAAAAAAAAAAGCAAGGCTTTGCACCCAAATGATTTATTCGGGTTATGGTTTCGGGTGCTTCAAATAAAAATAGAGGTTGTGGTTTCAGGTTTTCTTCATTTTAAAGAATATGGGTTTTGTTTAGCCAGTTTATTTATTCGGGTTATGGGTTATTTAAAATCGAGTAATATATCAATTTTGTTGTGCGTAAAGTGTTAAATTTGATTAAGCAAAGTATAAGGTTATACAATCAACTTTTCAGTACTAATGTCTAATACAGTAGTGACACACGTAATATAATTTAAATTTAAATTGAATATAATTTAATATTTTATAATATTAAATATTAAATGTTTTACCAACAAAGTATTAAATAGTAATAAAATAAAATGAAATAAGTTATTGAATCAAATATTAAAATTTTGAATAAACTATAAATACATTTATAAATTATTGATTATTCCTTATAATCAAAATATTATAAGTTATAACTACTTATAAGTTATAAGGGATATACGAAGATTAGTTGCAATAAGCTTTAGGTTTTAATAAAATATAAATTATAAAATTTTACGGACATAATAATATCATATTAAAAATTTAAAAATAACACAGTTCAAAACAATCAAAACAATTTATCAGTTGTATCCCACTTGTCACGTGTAACCAATGTTCCCAATTATGAAAAACTGAATTCT